GAAGTTCCAGAGAGGTACAGTCCAAGCCCTGGGCCTGTGGCTGACCAAACCCTCCCTTAACTAAAAAAATCCTAACTCAAGTACTTTTAGAGCAGCGAGGATACCACAAAGTGAGACTTAGAACCGGGCGCGGTGTCTCACGCCTGTAATCCCAGCGCTTTGGGAGGCCGAGGTGGGTGGATCACGAGGTCAAGAGATTGAGACCATCCTGGCCAACATGGTGAAACCCCATCTCTACTGAAAATACAAAAATTAGCTGGGTGTGGTGGCATGTGCCTGTAGTCCCAGCTACTCAGGAGGCTGAGGCAGGAGAATTGCTTGAACCCGGGAGCAGAGGTTGCAGTGAGCCAAGATCTCACCACTGCACTCCAGCCTGGTGCCTGGCGATGAAACAAGACTCTGTCTCAAAAAAAAAAAAAAAAAAAAAAAAGACCTGGATTATTTATACCCATTTTTAGAATAAAGCAATATTCCTGTTCTCTCTCCCTCTTTTTCTTCCTCTTTCTTCCTCTCCTTCTCACCTAAAAAAAAAAAAAGACTGGAGCTGTTTCCTCAAGACAGTCTTTTTTCACTAAAATGAGGGGCAAAAATAAATAAATAAATAAATAAAAAGAAAAAAAGGACCTGGCTTTCCAGTTAAGATATTACATTTTAGGCCATTTAGAAACCTCCGTACTCTAGGGATTCTAGGGGCTGAGATTATAGTTAATTGAATGTCAAATTGTTGAATTTGTGAATTTAAGTTGAAAATAGGAAATATAAAAACTAATCCTCTCAAATGAAGAGTATCAATTTATCCACCTAACACAGGCTGACTGTTAAAGTGGACTTTTAATGGCTTAATCAAGAATCCAAGCATACCTAGTTACAGAATATGATGAACATTGCCATGAGAGCTGTAACTATGTCTTAACAAATATTTAGAAAACGTAGGCCATAGAAGTTTTTTTTTTAGCAGATTTAAAGTATGTAATTTAGTGTTTTGTGCAGCTATTACCACACACTAATTTTAGACCATTTTCAGTTGACCCTACATAAATAAATCCTGTACCCATTAGTAGTTACTTCTTCTGTCCTCTCCCTTCCTCTTCAGAATTTCTTCCTCTGTCCTCTCCCTCAGGCCTAGATAACCACTAATCTACTTTTTGTCTCTTAAGTATTTGCCTATTCTGGACATTTTATATAAATGAAATAACAGAATATGTGGTTTTTCCTTCTGACTTTAATTTAGCATAATATTTTCCATGTTCATCCATGTTGTAGCTTGTATCAGTACACAAAAAGCCATTCCTTTTTATGGCTAATATTTCGTTGTATAGAATACCACATCATTGTATTTATTCATTCATTTATTTATTCATTTGGGTTGTTTAGACTTTTTGGCTATTATGAATGATACCATGACTGCTTGTATACCAGTTTTCATGTGGACATATATTTTTGTTTCATTTTTATTTTTTTACAGACAGGGTCTTGCTCTTGTTACCTGGGCTGGGGTGTAGTGGTGCAATCATAGCTCACTGTAGCTTCAAACTCTGGAATTCAAGCTATCCTCATGTTTCAGCCTTCTGAGTAGCTGGGACTATAGGTGCATGCCACTGCACCCAGCTGTTTTTTTAATTTTTAAATTTTTGTAGACATGGGGTTCCACTTTGTTGCCCAGACTGGTCTGGAACTTCTGGCTTCAAATGATCCTCTTGCTTTGGCCTCCCAAATGTTGGAATTACAGACGTGAGCCACTGGACCCAGCCTGTTTGTGTTTTTCTTCTGTATGTATATAAGGAGTATTGGAATTGCTGGGTTATGTGGTAGCTCTGTGTCTAACATTTTGAGAAACTCTAAACTTTTCCAAAATGATTGTACTATTTTTATTTCCACCAGTATTCTTTGAGCGTTCTAGTTTCTCCACTATTAACCTCCCTCCATGAAGTGAGAACTAGAGATACTAGCTAGAGGATTTGACGTGTATTTATAATTCACCATATGAATTTTGGGGGGGCAGATGTCAATCTGGAACATGTGTGTAATGATTTACTTGCTGTTCTCCTGGTATCAGTTGTTCTTTCCACAGTTGTTTCCAGTTTTCCTTTATTGTGAATGCTGTTTCTTTGTAAGCATGAAATTTATGTTAATTTGATATGCAAAAGTATAATCTTGTTTTAATATGCTTTTTTAAAATGAAGTTGAACATTATAGAAAAATGTTGGCTTTCTCTGTTTCCCTTTTTTGGGAGATAGAGGAATTTGTTGACTATTTCCTTTGCCTATCTTTGTTATTAGAGGTTGTCTTAATCTGTTTGCTGTTGCTATAACTGAATACCTACGACTGGAAAATTTGTTGAGAAAAGAAATGTATTTAGTCTCACAGTTGTGAAGACTAGGATGTCCACGTTCTAGGGGCCACATCTGGGTAGGCACCTTCTTGCTGATGGGGACTCTCTGTAGAGTTCCGAGGTGGTGCAAGGTATTGCATGGTGAGGGGGCCCAGGAGAGAAAGCCAAACTGGCTTATATAATGGACTTACCCTCAGGATAACTAACCCACTCTCATGATAACCCATTAATCCATTAACCCATGAGTAGATTAATCTTTTCCTGAGGGCAGAGCCCTCATGACCCAGTCACCTCTTAAAGGCCTAGCCTTTTAATAACATTACGTTTGGGATTATGTTTCATCATGAGTTTCAGAGAGGACAAACATTCAAACTATAGCAAGGACATGTTTTTATCATCAATATGTGTAAACTTCTATACAGTAACTTTATTATGTCTTATGTTGCAGATGTAATTTCCCATGTTGTTTGCCATTTAATTTTAATCATTGACTTTTTTTTTTTTTTTTTTTTGAGACAGAGTCTTGCTCTGTTGCTCAGGCTGGAGTGCAGTGGCCCACTCTTGGCTCACCGAAACCTCTGCCTTTTGGGTTCAAGCAATTCTCCTGCCTCAGCCTCCCAAGTAGCTGGGATTACAGGTGTGTGGCACCACACCCAGCTAATTTTTGTATTTTTAGTAGAGACTGGGTTTCACCATGTTGATCAGGCTGGTCTTGAACTCCTGACCTCGTGATCCACCCGCCTCGGCTTCCCAAAGTGCTGGGATTACAGGCGTTAGCCACCTTGCCCAGCCGAATTTTTTTTTAATTAAACAAAAGATTTGTATTTGTAGGAAGTAAATTTCGTTAGTATTTTCCTTTATAATTTCATCTAGCTTTTTAACCTTTCAAAATCCTATCTCAATCAGAGATGAAAAAAATGTTTTTGGTAGGTTTATAATTTTTAAAACTATCATTTATCTTAACCTCAATCTACTAACTGCTTATTTGGAAATACTCTCAGAAACATATATGTTGTTGAAATGTGCTTAATGCTGAATATTCCAGTGATCTAGGACAATGCTGTCCAGTAGAAACTTTTGTGATAGGAAAGTTCTGTATTTTTTGCTATTCACTATGGTAGCCAATAGCCATATGTAGCTATTGAGCACTTGAAAGGTAGTTAGCACAACTAACTAACTGCATTTCTAATATAACTTTTAATGTAAACCGAATTTAAATTTTACAGTTTGCAGCCAAAAAAAAAAAGAAAGAAAATAAAAGAAACAGAACTTCTGGCTGAGCATGGTGGCTCATGCCTGTAATCCCAGAACTTTGGGAGGCTGAGGCAGGTGGATCACTTGAAGCCAAGAGTTCCAGACCAGCCTGGCCAATATGGTGAAACCCCATCTCTACTAAAAGTACAAAAAAAAAGATGAAACCTCATCTCTACTGAAAGTACAAAAAAAAATTAACTGGATGTGGTGGTGAATGCCTGCAGCATAGCTGGGACTTCAGGTGTGTGCCACCATGCCCGGCTAATTTTTTAATAGATTTTATTTATAAGTAATACTGGTATCTTAAATTACATATTTAATTAAAAAATTAATTTAAATAAAAACTACATTCAGATAGGTATACAGACTTAAGGTCTTTAATTTTGTGCTTTTGCATTCTATGTCACTATGCCACTTTAAGTGAAATAGTTTGTGACCCACTGATTCATTCTTTTTGTCTGGAAAGGTACTCAAGGGAAAGATGTCATTGGTAGTTATAGCACCCTTTTCCCATTGATAAGGGGAATGGGTAGCACAGGCAGTATGTGATTTTATATGTATATGTGAGATATATATATATATATATTTGTCTACTAGAAGAGAGAGAGAGAGATTTATCTACTAGAAGAACTGAAGGCAGAAGTTCTTTTTTTTTTTTTTTTTTTTTCCCGAGACAATCTCGCTGTGCTGCCCAGGCTAGAGTACAGTGGCATGATATTGGTTCACTGCAACCTCTGCTTCCCAGGTTCAAGCGATTCTCCTGACTCAGTCTTCTGAGTAGCTGGGACTACAGGCATACGCCACCACACCTGGCTAATTTTGTTTTTTTAGATGGAATCTTGCTCTGTTGCCCAGGCTGGAGTGCAGGGGTGCGATCTCAGCTCACTGCAACCACCACCTCCTGGGATCGAGGAATTCTTCTGCCTCAGCCTCCTAATTAGCTAGGACTACAGGTGCACACTACCACACCCAGCTAATTTTTGTATTTTTAGTAGAGATGGGGTTTCACCATATTGGCCAAGCTGGTCTTGAACTCCTGACCATGTGATTCACCTGCCTTGGCCTCCCAAAATGCTGGGATTATAGGCGTGAGCCACTGCACCCCTGGCTTTTTTTTTTTTTTTTTTTTTTTTTGGTACTTTTAGTAGAAACAAGGTTTTGCCATGTTGGCCAGGCTTGTCTTGAACTCCTGGCCTCAAATGATCTGCCTGCCTTGGTCTCCTAAAGTGCTGGGATTACAGATGTGAGCCACTATGCCTAGCCAGCAGTTCTATTTTTTTTTTTTTTTACATTTGTACATATTAATATACAGTGTCTTTAGTGGCCTTAGCAAAGCTAGCTTACTAAGAAGGGATCTGTGGTGAGTTGCACTATATTCTCAGGCTTGTCTCATTTTTTGCTTACCCTGTTACAGACGCTGCATCCAGGTAGTACACAAACTGCTTTGCTACCAGAAGAAGTGTCGGGTACGCCTACATTACACCTGGCGGGAACTCTGGTCAGGTAACTTTCTCTCTTGAGTTCATCCTCTTTTTTTATGCCTTTTATGAGCCCCTAGGCCTGGGCTCAAGGTGGATTTTTTTTTTTTAACCTTTTGGTTTGTTTAGGATACCTTTGTTTTCATTTATTCTTTTTGTCTTTTTTTTTTTTTTTTGGACATTTTAGCTTTTTTCTAATCCAGACCTGGATGTGTCACATGTCTATTCTATACTTCCTTCTCCCTATGTTTTTTGTCAACTGGTAAAAACAATTAAGTATTTCTTGTGCGCCAATAAATCTCCCTTTGAGTAAGAATGAGGTAGGAGGAGTCCGTACAAACTTGGATTCTCACTCGGTTCCATTTGGTAGCAGCATATGGACTATAGGGAGGCTTCTGTGTGTTTCCTCAGGAGGAGTAATCTTAGGAGGAGTGTCATAGGGAGGGATGGAGAGATGGGGACGGGGTGGAGAGATGCAGGAATCCCGTTTTCTGTGTTACCTTACAGTCTGGCATTATTACTGTTTACAGACAGTGTCACTTGTACCACTCCCCCTGTGCCAGAGACAAAACAGCAAATTACAGTGTTTACTTTTGTCTTTGTATCCATTTGGTAGCCCAATAAAGTCACTGCTACCACTGCAGGCGTGAAGTGGCTCTTCTCTAAGGGTACAATTAATGCTGGCTTGCCACCCCTTTCTTTTGTGTGACTAAATTGGAGGTTTCAGGGAAGCAGAGGAGACATGTTCCCTGAGGCAGTTGTTTGCTGCTAGATCCTGTGGCTTTTGACACCTGATGGTACAATAAAGTCTTCTCCAGATGATTACAGTGATGAAAGGTTGTCCACCCAGGGGAGAGCTGCTTTGTATTTTTAGCAGAATAGGGTGTGTTGGTGTCAGAGGCTTTATAAGAAACAGGCCGGTAACCCAGCCCCCTTCCATGGAATTCATCTCACTTGTTGTGACACATGATTTCCTCCCAACCCAGTTTGGCTTTCTGAATTTAGTCCTCCATAATGGGAAATAGAGATCTTTAATTAATGGATTAGGAAGTTTTTGCAGTTACTGCCTATGGTGGTAAAGGAGGAATAGGAGAATAACACTAAGTGGCAATAGTGGCATTTTGGTATTTTAGTAGAGGAGGGTATGATTGTGTGAGAGTTTGAGATTGAGAGAATGTCAGGAGAGTTAAAGAGAGATCAAAAGACATAAATGACCAACCGTAGAATTAGGTAGCAATACCTCCTTTTAATATAAAGGACTATTGTTGCTTATGGATAGTTGTATGTTTATTAAGCTCTAAAAGCATAGGATTAAAGAGAAAACACAATAATAATGCAGATCTTCAGATGTTGGTACAGTTGTAGGATTTATAAGTTCAAATGGTTTATGTGTATAACGTGAATGAAATTACACACTGTATTACTAAACAAGGTGGTGGTAGTAGTTGTCTCTACATGCCTCTTCTGATTCCCTTCTGGTTTTATTTTCTCTTTCATTCTCTTTTCTTTTTGTCCTAGCTTGTTTATCTCTGGCCTCTGTGATCTCTCTGACTTTTCTCTCATTCTCATGATCTGTTACCCTCTTCCTGTTCCATTGTCTTATCCATATTGCCTTATACTGTTGGTTCTGGTCTGTCTCCTGAGGCTCAGGGCTTCCTGTTATTCTCCTCCTAGCCCCATTTTGTATCCTCTGATCTCTTGATGAATCAACACTTTTATCGGTATGAACTGTTCTTTGTGTTATTATAGTCATGCATTTTACTTTTTACATGTCATAAACTCCAGAATATATTGCACTCATTTTTGCTTAAACAAGCGATTATATTTTAAAGAGATTTAAAAATGTCTTTTTTTAAAATTTCATCCAAAATATTTACAAATGATAAAAATATCTTTTATATTTATCTTTTCTGACTCCACATTTTGCTCTTCTGACTAGGAAATGGTAAAAAAGAAGGCCATTCTTTATTCTGTGTTGGTCAGTTGATGTTATATCTTTCAGAACTTTCAGCTCTATTTATAATTATGTCCTATTCTCAGAACTAATTGCATTATAGCCTAAGGCCCTTGATGAGTTGAGGGGAAGTGTATATGAGTGTCCTTAGAGAGGCATGGACTGTTGCTTGTCACAAAGGCATCCAGACATTTGTACTAGAGTTCTCTGCCATGTAATATTAGCTCCTTTTCCTGTATAGGCTGGGCGAGCCCTCCTGGAACCCTGGCTCCATGTGTTCTTATATGGAGTGTACAGTGAGATGCAGAGCAGCAGGGGTTTAGGAAAGCCGCAAAACAGAGCATTGTATCCCATGCAGTCCTGAGTCTGTAATAATGTATAATGTTGCATTCTGTGAAAATAAGTGTGTCTATGGTGGATCCACCTACTCCTTGGCAGGCACTATGTCTCATATGTTGGAATGCCCGTGTTTTCACTCTTGCTTTGCCTTCTAGACTTATGGATTTGAGAGAGCTGTGCGAAACTCATCATGGCAAATGTGCTTATGTGTATATATCCTTTGCCATACATATGCTGCACACTGTAATGAAATTTTATTTATAAGATCGGTGAGGCATGTGTTATTAGATTGGGCACACAGAAGCCCTTGGATATCTAGGAAGCAATCATCTAGGGTCCAGATGCCTTTTGTAGTTTGGAATGTGGGTATTTAGTATCACTGTACTTCAGAGCTGATTTTTATTTCTATGCTGTTTGACTATATTAGCTCTTTGTTGTTATTGGGGAGGTAGCCAGAGGTCCCCAGATTCCCATAATGAATTCCCAGATATGGTCTTATGGACAAGGAGGAGCCAGTTGTATTAGTTCGGGGTTCAATCTTGCCTGATAAGCTTTTCCTAGTTGGTTTTAGAAATACGAGCCCCAACCTACTCCCTGCTGCCACTGTCTGTTTCTATGATGCCTGTCACCATGGTATCTGAGTATGTGGGGAAATTTATTTTGGCTACTTTAACTTCAATATGGAAAGGAAAAATTCCTATTGCTCTGCATTGCCCTCTTTTCAGCAATAACTATTTTTTACCACGTTATAGAAAGTTCGAAAGCTCTTCTCTGATGTCTAGGCGACCTAGAACTCCTAGTGTGAATAAAAGATTAGGTCTTAAAACTCTCCACTGATAGAGGTAGAAAACCGGGTTTTGGGATAAGATCATACTGAAATCGTTCTTTACTTTTGAGAATAGAATGAAAGCTACAGTCATCTTCGTATCTAGAAAAATGTCCATGTGCACATATTTTGCATATAGTTTCACAGAGTTTCTGGACCCTCCGAAGCTCCTCCATGATCTTGTGTCAAAAACCTTTGCCTTAATTTTAAGTTCTACAACCTCCCAATTAATTCTGTTCTCACAGAATATCTTAGTATCTAGGTAAATGTTTTTTTATTTTTCTTTTAGTCTTACTCTGTTGCCTAGGCTGGAGAGCAGTGGCACCATCTGTGGTTCAACAATCCTCCCCGCTCAGCCCCTGCCCCAAGTAGCTGGGTCTTAAAGGGGCTGCGTCATTACTCCTGGCTAACTTACGTATTTTTTGTAAAGACGGAGTTTTATCACGTTGGCCAGGCTGGTCTGGAACTTCTGACCTCGAGTGATCTGCTCACCTTGGCCTCCCAAAGTGCTGGGATTATAGGTGTTGAGTCATTGTGCTTGGCCAATATTTTTTCTTTATTTACTGGTCACACTCTGCTCCTACTGGGAACTTTAGATTAACAATCTCCTTTGAACTTCTTGAGTCTATAGACCATTTTGTTCACTATTCTTATTTTCTGAGTGTTTTCTATGGCATATTGGGCCCCTATTTCAGTATATCGCATGGTTTTGCTATGTTTGCCTTTTTTTTCTTTTTGAGACGGGGTCTCATTCTGTTGCCCAGGCTGGAGTACAGTGCCACAATCTCAGCTCATTGCAACCTTCATCTCCTGGGCTCAAGCAATCCTTTCAACTGAGGTTCCCGAGCAACTGCGACCATAGGTGCAAACCACCATGCCCAGCTAATTTCGTATGTTTTTACAATGACTTGTTTAAATATCTATTTTTCCTCTCAAAAAAGTTTCTGGAGGGCAGGGCCTGTTTTTAAATCATTGTTAGATTTCTAGCAGACTACTTGGCTATTTAGTTATTTATTTTTGGAGACAGGGTCTTGCCCAGGCTGGAGTGCAGTGGCACAATCATGGCTCATTGCAGTCCCGACCTCCTGGGCTCAATGGATCCTCCCACCTCAGCCACCTGAGTAGCTGGACCATCATGCCTGGCTTATTTGTGTGTGTGTGTAGGCTGGTTGCCCAGGCTGGTCTCGAAGTCCTGGACTCAAGTGATCTATCTGCCTTGGCCTTCCAAAGTGTTGTGATTATAGGCGTGAGCCATAGCACCTGGCCTACTTGGCTTTTTAAGAGGAACTCAGAAAACATTTGGATGAACAAATAAGTAGATGAATGGATATGTAGGATTTTCATTAATGATGGATCAACATTCTCCAAAAGCAGCACAATGTTGTCTTTGACCCAAATGATGATGATGATGATAATAATAATAATAGAACCCAGTAGGATGTTGTTAATGTTTCTGTTGAGCTGACATCATCATCTTTGAAAGGGCCAGCCATTCACCTTAGTTGATTTGATTTGTGAAGGAGAGTAGTTAGTAATTTCTTTTGTTTTTTTCTCATTCTTCCTTACCCACACAGATGCATGGATTGCTTTTAATCAAATAAAAATGGAAACTTTGATGGTTTCTAAGCCATTAACCAAAGAATGAGCAGGATGTTTAGAGAGAAGATGTAGTTGTTGGAGAGGGAAATACTTGAGCTTCATGGAGTCAGCTTATTTTATTTCTACTACAGGAAAAAGGGGCATTGGAGAGGCAGCCAGCATTTAAATAGTGTGACTTTCCACTGTCTGAAAACATGGGTTGATTTAAAGGCAGATTTATACTGGCATTTTATATTCAACATTTATCTATGGATCACAGTTGTTGCCCTTTTACTCTGCCACATCCTGGGTGATAAGTCATTGTTTT